AAGAAAATTAAGTTTCATTATCGTCACTATAAAGTTGAGCTTTATAAACGAGTTGTTCAGCCTTTATCGATGAAAACACCCTTCCAAAAAAAAACTATGTTCTATGACGTTTTTCCTGCACGTTCAACATGTTCTACGTGTTCAGCAGCATGCAAAGTCTATCAATTCCTCACTTGTAATTGGCAATTAAAGAATGCGCAACGTGTTCACGAATTGCACATTTTATGTATTAATGACGTGTGCAATTCCCTTTACGTCACACAATACAAGTTATTTACGTTGTTGTTTAATTATAAACACTTTAATTATAATATTTAATTTGTTTTCTTAACTATAATATCATTAAACTCTTCTAAAATGCTTAAATTTCCTTGTATTTTTACATATTTTAGTGACTGTATGTTTGTCTGTATATAGATTTTTAGTATAAATATTCGAAATTTCGACTCAGTTTTTTTGGGGGGGAGAAAATCGAGATTACGTAATGTGTTTTTATTTATTTCTTAATATTTTTATAATTATTTTTAAATTAATTTAATTATAATTTATAAAAATCGGAAAGTTGTATTCGACTAAACAATATTTAATTATATCAATTGTTTTATCAATATTTGCATTTAAACAAGTAAATTATAATATTAATATATTTAAGAAATTGAAATTTTATTTTTATGTCATAACTTTCATTTTAAAAAAATTATTTTTAGAATTTTTGCGTTGTTAGTCAGGATGTCTGCACGTCGTTTCTACTTGGAATATAAATAAAATGTTTTTAATTTCATCGAAATTTTAAAGGATATTATAAATTTAAATAATTAATGAATGAAATTATGCAAAAATAAGATGTTTATTTTTATTTTTACTTATAAAATTACACTTTTCATGCTTAAAATTTCAACATATTTGAAGAGAAATTCAATTTTTTAAAATATTCTTGACTTTTTTAAGGTAATTTCATTATTTATACGTTAAATTTATACAAATTTTTATCTATTTCCTCCCAAAAAAACCCTCGATATAATGTCGCACAGACTTGCTCGTGAGCTCGTGTTTATTTACACATTCATTTTTTTTTATGTCTTTTATGAAAATATCCGCTCGACTTTCCTAATTAAAATTCTTTAGACCTTAATATAAGCCATAATTCTATTAGATATTTAATTAAAGGTTTTCTTTTTTGTTTCTAAAAGAAACAAAAATGTTCGTATGTATGTCTGTCTTTTCTTAATCTCGCGAACGGTGTTAGATATGTAAAAGTCATAACCAGATATGGAAATATTAGGAGAAGCAGGACCGGAATTAATATATACGAACTTCCGGTGTAAACCGGAAATCACGTGAATTCAGTTAAAACATTTCCCTCTAATTTCAGTTTCGTGGTGTTGTGGCGACGTCACAATGATTTTAATTGTAAATAATTTGTTTTTTTTTCAAAAAAAGTACAATTTTAATCAATATTTTATTGTTTTTTTTTAATAATTCTTTTGTAATTTCAATAAAATTTGGTTTTATTTTTACGAATGTAAACAAGTTACAAATACATTTTCTCGTATTTGGGTCATTGCAATAAAGACTTGAATTTATTATTATTTTCTGTTTAAATTATGTAATTATTTTTATTATTTTTGTAAAATATTTGTTTTTTAAATTTTTACTTAAGTTTTATTTTATTATTATTTGTTAATAAAATTAATAAATATGTGTTAAATAATACACATTTCTTTAGCGTGCGATAGATCTGTGTTAATTAATACTACAAGGTTTGAGCATTCATAATAAACACAGTTTCTGCTTAAAATTTTACGATAATTATTAAATGTTAATTGTTATTATAATTTTTTGTTAATTTTCTGATCGAATTTCCTGTTTTTAAGTGTACCAAACACATTAAAATCATCCCATCTACCGTACTAAATTAACCGAATAAGATACCTTAAAATTGCTGTAATATGATCCAAACTCGATATAACGCCTTTCTAAATAGCGCCAGTAGGTCTGGTCTTACTCATAAACACTAATGATTCACTAAAAATATACTATTTAACCTTTCACCTTGCTCTTATTCACGTGTCTCAACATTCAAATTCGAATTTGTGTGTAGATTTTCGTTACTACGTGCAACTGTTATCATTTAAAATGCGTTAATTTAGCGTCACACTCGATTTAACGTTGATTTTACAGGAAATGGTGGAGGTTTGTCTTTGTTTACTTGTAACTAATACTTTTACTTTGTTTACAAGCGCGAAACTGCTATTTTAAAGTGTTAAAAATATAGTTTCATGCCATCAAACCTGGATATAACGCCCTCCTATATAACGCTACTGTCGTATTAACGAATGGATCTTCCCAAAGGTTTTGTTTCTCAAGTGTTATTAAATTTGTGTAGACCTCCTCATAACGTAAATTTCACATACCTCAGTTTAACGCCATAAAGTCGATTTCGTGCTAATTTTATTGGTGTTAAATTAACCTCATCGCAGCCAAATAATTAATTAAAGAGAAGATACCAAATAAAATTTGCAATAAAATAAAACGTTCTGTCCGGGAAAAAGAGGACGCACAGTAACCTAATTTTTAAAAAAATATATTTATTTTTATCACCCCTAAATACCATTTTTAACTAATATAGTAAACTTTTATATCATTTGAAGGTGTAAAAGTGTAACACTTGGCTTGATAGAGACTCGAAAAGTGATCGTTTAATGCTGTAGTAGCGTGGAGAAAATAGAAGAAAAACACGCTTATAACTCGATACAAATTTTTTTTTTTTTGATCTTTAATCTTATTTTATTAAAAGCATCCATCTTTTTGATATTCTTTATCCAATCTAATCTACAGCCATTTTTATTTTTAGATCATTGATCCTCATACTCAATTTTTTTCGTCACAAATAACACTTTTGTTCCTATTAAATCTACCTTCTGACGTTACTTTACGTCATTTTTTTTTTTGCAGAATTTTATGTGTTATTCCCTTCTGTATTCATCGAGGAATATTGGCGAATATATAATATGAATAATTAAAAATAATTTAATTAAATATATCGGTGATAAAGCTAATTTATAGCCAATAATTTTGCTGGAAAAGTCGAAATTTCATCTAAAGTCGAATTGCTTATCTTTATTATGCGACAAAGTATAAATGGATTTTCGAAAATTAAATTAAGGAAATTGGATTATTATTTAGAGAATATCAGAAATTATTCTCCTTCAAAATAATCAAGAAATTCTATTTATTATTATTATTTTTAATGACGTAAATATACATTGGCCCACAAGTCAGTTAACCAGTAACTAGTTAGCCTCTATTATCTTCAGTAAATATGAATAGTTTGGTGAGATTGATCAAGACATTTGTAAGTATACAGTGAACAGACAGACATACAAACATTCTACTATATATACGTATAGTGTATTAGTTATTAGAACGAACAACGAAACATTTTTATTTTTAAACAATACAATATAAATACAGGGTAGCCCAGAAGTCAGTTAACCTATTTTATCTCCAGGATCGTACAGAGTAACTTTAAAAAAATTCGGTGTAGGTCGGCCGAAGGGTTGATAAGTGTACAGTGAACAGACAGACATACAAACATTCTGTTCGTTATATATATATAAGGATTAATTATTAAAACAAACTACAAAGCATTTTTATTTTAAATAGTAAAATAACAAAATACAGGTGGCCCAAAAGTTTGTTAACCCAGTTTTGTTTTGAGTTTTACATTGATCAATATGAATTGTACACTAGAACAAATTGTTTAAGAATTTAAATAAGACCATACATTTAATCTTCCTAGCGGTTAACTGACATTTGAGCCACCCTTTATAAATAAAAATAATTAAATTTTAAGGCTACGGATTTTAATTCCTTAAATTTAGAAGAGTTTAATGTAAAGAAAATGCTTATTTAAATGCATTTATTAAATACGACGCTATTGATATCGTGGAGAATCTGAGAGGTAAAATGATAATTAATAAATGTAATTTAATATTAATTGTTCGTTATAAAAATGTAATTTGTATTTTAATAAATTAATTTACCATTATGAATATTTATATAACACGAGTAACAATATTCTCTTCGTGGTTTAATTTATAAATAATGGCCATTGAATATGATACGAATTACGTAAGAGTTTAGAAAGTCATAGAGAAAAATCTAGCAGTGAGTTGCGTAACTTTTCCCTGCAGAAAAAAAGTTAAAATTGCGTGTGGCGCCATCTGTTATTGATATTTAATTTAAAACTTTTTATAGTATT